TCCTTTCCCTGGCCGTCTGTTTTACTTCATTTGCTACAGAAAAGCACTCGAGCAAATCCCCCCAGCTTGTGTGTTTTGCAGCCTGCGTGGGTTTCCATCGGGTTTCGGTTTGGCCACTTGATCACGGCTTGCCTGAGACTCTCTTGTTTAATGCATGCGGGGAGAGGGGTCCCACTCTGAATTTGCCTCTGCTAAACAGCCAGCAGGCGGGTGAGAAGGAATACTAATAATAAAGGTAATGTGCAAACACACACCCAGACACCCACACAATGCAGGGGCAAATAAATCGAGAACTGAATGCAGCAGCGCTGCGAGCTGGGGGGGGTGGGGGGGATGACACAGCATCTGACAGCTCCAGGGGCCTCTCATGAGCTAAAAAGCCCCCACACATTCGGCGGCAGCTGCAAGCGGGTCCATTTAGTCCTTAGCAGGGACCCTTGTGCCAGGGGTGGCTACGGTCTCCGAGGCTTGGGAAGCCGCTTCCAAAGGTTGAAGCGACGCAGCCCGGGAGCGAAACAAAAAGTTTGGGGAGAAGCTCCGAATCGTGTCCGTCTAGGGGCGTGAGGTCTGGAGCGACAACCAGCATGGGGGGGGGGGGTGGTGGCGGCGGGGGGAATCAAACTCACCACGCTAGTTAAAGTCAATTACCGGGCAAATCACTGACGGCTGTGGCAGAAAATCAACCGACTGAGATCTGCCCCCTAAACTATCTGAGGGTTGAAAGTTACAGGGTAATTAGCTGGGGAATCACTCCGTCTGTTGAAAGTTTACCTTCCCCCTGGGCGCTAAGGCTGCATTATGGCCCTGGCAGGGAGGGAGATGTCCCCCCCCCCCCAGCGATCGGCTGTTTAGAAACGAGTCATTTACAAGAGACATATTGGTCAAGACCTACCTTCCAAAGGAAACCCAGTGCGCGGGTAGTTCTGTCCCGGCGCGGGGCGCATCATTCTGGGAACTGTCCCGGGTAAAGTTGCCATTCCGGAGTCAGTCTGGGCCGGTTGGGTTTCAAACAGACACACAAATCAAAGCCGGGCCACCCCCTTTTCTGGGCTGAGCGAAGCGAAGTCCCGCGCGCTGCAGCAGACGCGTGTCTTCTCCCTCCGTTAAGGCGCAGGGCTCTCCTCCCCAGCCCCGGGCTGCAAAGACAACGGAGAAATCTTTTGCTCCGACAGGGAAAAGGGGGAAGGGGGGGACTCACCCCCCGCCCAGAAATTCTTCTTAAAGTTTTAGTGGTGTGGCTCAGCTGGCCTGAGCTTTCCTTCTTCAGGAATGTAAGACACCGACTAGAGGGGGAAGCAGACACATCCCGAGCGGTCTCAGGGCTGGGCTGGGCTTCTGGGGGGACTGCTTCCCCCCCTTCTGTTTTATTTTGTTGTTGTGGTGGTGTGGGTGTGGGTGTGGGTGTGTGGCAGTTGGCGATCGCTTAGGGGATGGCTGTTTTCAGGAGATGAGGGTGATGGGCGGGGGGGGGGGCGTTATGTCAGCTGGAAGGTTTGGAAATTAAAGCGCCTAACTTTGGCGCATTGGGGAGGCAGAGAGAGAGCCCCAGGCGAGCTGTGATAGGTTCCAGCGTCTTTCTTTTATTCATGAACCGGGGAAGGGGCACTGTTGTGGGGCCGAGGGACCAATAGCAGAAAGCAGCTTTAACGCCCAGGCATATATAGGGGTTGGGGTTTGTAATTCATTCCTTGGCTTGGCCTCGTTTGCAGGGAAGGCTGGGGATTTTGTGGGGGGGGGGGGGGACAAACGGGGGGAGAAAACTTTGGGAAAGCATCTCCCCGTGGTAGACACGTTCCCTTCCCAGGGCACGGGGGCTTCAGCTGAAGGAATCTTTAAGCGCTTACCAGCATTAACCCCAGCAAGGGCAGCCCGGAGCGCCCGGCTTGCCTTGGGCGACGCCTTTCTCCTCCAGTGCTGACTCCTCTCTCAATCCTCTCTCATCAGGGGAGGTTTTGCCACAACTAAGGACTCAGTAAACATTTAACCCAAGCAACCCTTCTCCCCAGCCTCCATGCGCCCGCATCTCTCCAGATGGCTCGCTTTAGGGGATCTCTCTCTTTCTCTGCGACTCGTTTGAATCCGCTGACCAAGCTTCTCCCCGCGGCAGGTTGAAAATGAACCTCCCCCCCACGCCCACCCACCCCCAAATGCGGGGAGCAGAGAGATGAGTCCAGTGCGAATGTGCCTGGTGGGAATAAATGACCCGGAGAGTTACAAGACCCCAACCCAACCGCTTTGTATGTGGACACATAAACCATCCTTGGCGCATTCGCAGCCAAACGATATCACCCCTTTCCCTGTGCTTCTTTACGAGTTTCCTTCGCTGCGATTTAAACCCTATTCACGTTTGTATGGGGGCTTTCTCCTCTTTCATCCCCCCAAGTGCCTGGCCCGGGGAAGTCCCGACTGCTTCTCTCCAGACCTGGAGACAAGTTTCTCTCTTGTCTTAGGAGACCCTCCACATCAATCTGGGGATCTGTTTTGGGGGCGAGGAGTAACCAAAGAGTCAAATGCGGGAAAGAGCAAAGTCAATAGCCAGGTGGAGTGGGAAAAGGCCAAGGGAAGTTGTGTAAAAAACTCTCCTAAGGATCCGGGCAAAGATCACGCCTTGATCTATGAACCCAGCCCCACAGACCTTCGCGTGGCCCTTTCTCGAGTTGCCCTGTGTGGCTGGCTCATCATTCGTGTTTCTAACCGACAAAAGGCAGGTTCGAAACAACCTGACTCCGGAGTGCCTTTCCCCTCTCTTCTTTCTTCTTCCCGCTCTTGGGCAAACAAAACTCCTGCCGGGGGAGACTTGCCTCCAGGGAAAACATTTTGCAGGGTCGGTCCCTACTTTAGAAGGTGGTGCTGAGAGCACGGGGGCGTTTGCCACAGAGGTGATTGCTCCCCCCCAGGTGCCATCCACTAGCGTGAGGTGGAGCCGTGGCTTCCCCCTGGGGGACTGTCCCGCTGACCCAGGACAGTCTGAACAAATAGCAAATGTTTCCCTTGAAGGTGGCTGCTTTGGGACTTGAAGGGAACAAAACTCCTTCTCAGCAGGGCATGACGCCAGGGCTTTGCGGACTCTTTTGTTTGCATCTGTAAAAGGACTTTTCCTGGAAATCAGGGAAAACTTTAAAAAAAAAAAACAAAAAAACTACACGTGCAGTTTTTCTTTCTTCATAAAAACACACGTTGTTGCGACCAAAATCAGGTCTCCCAAACCCTCTCCCATTAAATCGGATCCCCTCCCTCAACGAAAAAGAATATTGCCGTTGCAAAACTAGCCAGAATAGGGAAAAATTCCCAAGATAATATAGGTTTTTGATCACTTTTCCCTCCCGTTTTGTCTTTTCTAATAATAATCAATATGCTGCTAGATAAATGGGTGGTTCTCAATCTCTCTTCCAATAAGGCAAGGGCATATCAGCATCTGCCCCCGCCTAATGAAAAGTCCCCCCCCCAACTAGTAATCGGTCCTCCCATTATAAAATTTCTCCATGCCTGAGGCGTTTGAGGTTGACAGTCTAAAGCGGCAATCCAACCATTCAAAGAGACCTCCCCCCTTCCGCTTCAATTTTTCTATCCTTCCCACTTCTCCCATCCCCGGCCTGGTAGATCTCAGGCACTTTGCAAGGCACAGAAAGAAAATCCCTCCCGTTAAAAGTCGCTTGGAGTTGAACCGTTGCAGCGTGTGTGTGTGTGTGTTTCCAAAGATGACCAGTTCCCAGATACAGTAAAGAACTTGAACTAAGTGATGAGAGTGAGACCAAGGGTTAGTTGATTGGCATTGGTTTTGTGCCAGACCGTTATGTTTCAAGAAGGGAGAGACAAAAAATGGATCCTGTCAATTTCTTTCCAAAGAGTCACATCGCTTCAGATATTTTCCATCGCATCCCTTCTTTCCCCCTTCGCTTGTCAGCTCCTAAACTTTTCGGAGAAGCACCCTGCAAAGTGACTGGGGGGGGGGGGGAAGGGATGCAACGGAACCGTCTGAACTGACTTTAAGATCCATCTTCGCTGCATCCCTTCGGCGTCGCTCCAATTCGTTATTTTCGCGTCAAGTTGTCCTCACTTGGTTGGGAAAAAAATAAAGTTGAACATTGAACGGCTCTGATTTTTAACGCCCCCCCCCCCCAGCTGATTAAGGAAATGGGGGGGGGGGCGGAAATCTTGTCCCCATTAACCCTCTTGCTTAGAACACCTCCTGAGAGAGAATCTCTCTCGATAGTCCTGTAGACACACGATTATTTGAAAAGTGTCCTGCCTTCCCGGCTGCTCTAAGGTCACCTCTCTCGGATAAAAATCCCAGAGCAAACGTAGGATTTGTTTTTCTTACCCTGCCCAACGGAGCAGGGAGTATTGAAAAAGATTTGACACTAGAAACTTCAGAGCCCCCCCCCGCCCTTCCTTTTGTCCAGTGTATTTTTTGTAATAATCGTCTCCACAGACAATGAGTAGTCTCGCTTGATGAAGGCATTATGGCCAAGCAGGCTGAGGTAACAGCAGCCCCGATCCCACCTCTCAGGGCCAGATTGTTGGCCTTGGACACTTGATTTCCAACTTTCAGCTCTACCGATTGCATCGAACCCAGAGCAGGAGCCCAGTGTCAACTGGGCATTTATCATACAACCAACGAGGCAAAGATGGCACCTGCCTTTTTTGTGTTGGCATTTTAAGCAGCCCTTAATTTTTCAAATTGTGTGTGTGTGTGTTGGGGGGGGGGCAGTAGGTGTCTATCGGGGGAAGCAGGTTGTCAGCATCATGGGAACTCCATGCCTTGGAAATGCAAGGTGGTGTGTGTGTGTAATAAGCGTGCACCGCTCTCCTGGTGGAAAGCAATTTCACAAATAATTTTTCCAACAATTAAGGAGTGTGCAGGGGTGAAATGGCAATTTCACATGCAGATCTGGGGGCTGCAGAGGAGGGGTTGTTACCTGAGCGCCCAAGCGGAGAGCTAAGAAAGGGGGGGGGACCCTTTTCGCCCCTTCCCCCAATGCTTTGCTTCATTACCCATGTGCACAAAGGAGAGCCCCCTTCTTTTCTCTCCTGGGAGCGCTAAGCAATAGATTAAAACAAGCATCAATCAAGAAAAGGACCCAAGTAACTGCTTAAAGAAACAAGACAGAATTCCTCTCTTCTTGAAAGGGACTCCTCACTTCTCTGCGTATCTCCATGGTTTCCTAAGGTATGTTTCTGGTTGATAAATGCTATATATCACTGCTCCCTTTGGAGAAATGGCTTGTAAATCAGCACTGAAAGACAACTCATAAGGATAAGGGAATAGGAGTGTTATTTTCCCCCCTCCACCTCCCCCCCCCCACTCCCCAGCTCATCTTCCTTTTGCTTCTGGTGGAATTTAGAGCCACTCAAAGGAGGGGTGGCATATGTAAATTGCGGAGGAGCTGGCTAACATGGTGATGCGTCCTGTCAAGGTCTGTTTATTAAATTCTCGACTCGAGGAAGGCATATAGGTTAAGCTTGCCCAGGAAAATCACTTAGGCAACGAACGCGCTGCCAAAAGCAAAGCTGCCCACCTCACTCGCCCGCTTAGTCAGTGTGCATTTTAGAGACAGGCTATTAACGATGGCTTTTAAAAAATTCTTATTCTTTATTTATTAGGATCATGCCTGTGAGCGTCTATTTTGATACTGCTCCAAGAGAGGATTGAAAGGAGAGAGCGTCTCTTCAAAAGATCATTCAGATCAGACTTGCCTTTTAATACGTGCTTTTGAAAATATTAAAAGCTGGAGAATTTGATCGTTATTTTGTTAAAAAGTAATTAAAAAAAAAGCCGGGGGAGGAATTATTTAAGGGAAAGTTACTCCCTTCTCCTGAAATGTACACGACGATTACTCATGTGAAGGTTTTTCACTTGAAATTTCGGTGTAATGAGGTTATTTTAAAGCGATTATTCGATGCAACTCTCTTTCAAAGGTGACCAATACGCCTCGAAAACCGGGGATTTAAAAAACCAAATATTTCGGAAGGGCTTTGCCGTTGTATGAGAATGACCATTGCAAAAAAATCATTAAGAAAAAGTCACACGCTCGTTCTGGCAACGTTTCCCCCCCGGGAAGAAGAGAGACGGGATATTTGCAGCGAGCATCGAAGACAAGAGGAAGGAGAAGTCGTTTGTTATATAAAAGCTTACTCCAGCTACATGCCACGAAAGAGCTGGTTCCCAGGGAAAAGTAAAACAAACAAACAAATAAATAAAAAACAAGATCTAAAGGGCACAAACTCGACACATGACAAAGACCTGATTTACCGTTTGTGTAAAAACGTGAAACGAAATTGACATGAATATTTTCTTGCAGAAACTAAAGGGCTTGATCCAAAGCGTATTGAAATGTCCCAGGGGTGACGATGGGCTTTACATCAAACTCGGTGTGCGGGTTAATGACCTTAATACGTCTGTCTGTGTGTAGCTCTATTCTAGTCTGTATCGGCGCTTAAGTTATAACACACTTTATCATCACAATATCAACATATGTGGCCCTGCTTCCTGGCCCGAAAGATCCCCCTTCGAGGAGTTCTGTGTTCAGGTGACTTGCCTTTAGTTTAGCCCGTGCTTTTTATGTGGGCGAATGGACTGAAAAGTGAAAAAAAATCGGGTTACGAACATTTAAAACCTGCTGCCACTGAACTCCCGGGCTCCAATGGGAGCAGAATGCGACCCCTCTAGTTGGTATGGAGAGAGCAGCGCTGGTCTTTAATGCTCGGTTTGTGAGCCTGCGTCCTCTGCCTCCCCCCCCCAGCCCCCCTTTCTTGGGAAAACAAGGCTCTGTTTATTCGCGATGCTCTTCACTTAATTGCTTAAAAAATAAGACGTCCCATGCCATCAGGCCACAACAGGGCTTTCTTCAAGCCCCAAGGTGGAAGGGAGAAATAGTTTGACGTCCAAGATTGCATTTAAAAACAAACAAACCCCAAACTGGTTTGCAATTTCTTGCATGTCCCCACACTCTCTCTCTCTCTGTGATGCAGTCCTTGCAGCCTCACAAGGAAGGCTGCTAATTTGTGTGTAATGGGAATTCATTTATTTTCCCAGGGACTTTCTCAAGGGACAGCAAGGCACAAACCCCCGAATCAAACTCCGTCCAGCTCCGCTCCCTGGCAGGGTCCCGAACAAAAGGCGAAGTGTCCCAACGCTCCGGGCTGGATGCCACAGGGCTCCTCGGAGCGGCCTTGCCATTGGGCCAGGTTTAATTTGCCCGGAGTGCGGTCTTAATAGGATGTAAGCCGCGCCCTTGAACAATTACCTTGTCAAAGCCTAACATCGATGGAATGAGCGAAGTATTTTCATTAAACAAATCAAACTAATAAGGCGGGCACTGGGCTTGCTCAGTCTTTGAACCCATCAGTTGGCTTTAGAGAGATTCAGCCGAATCACACTAACTTCTATCCCATTGGTAGTCGCTGCTTAGTTTTCCTAAAGAAGATTAAATACTCCTTGCTCAAAGGCTCAGTTCTACTCGTTGTCAGGGTGCAACATCCTAATTGGGTTTGCTCTGCCTTACAAAGTGCTTTCCCTATACCCCTGCTACCAGGCGCAAACAGCCTCCTTCAGATGGCATTAAGGCAGGGGTGGGGCTGGGGATACTTCCCTCCCTCTGTGTGTTGGGTTTATTCGCCATATGATGTGGTAAAAGGGTACATAATAATAATCAGGAAGAAGCTGATTGAGAGAAGCTGGGAACGGATGACGGGATGGACCACTTGATGGTTGCCCTGTTCATTTCCCCTGGGGCACCTGGCCTTGGCCACTGTTGGAAGATGGGACACTGGGCTAGATGGACTCTTGGTCTGACCCAGTAGGGCCCTTCTTATGTTCTTACTGCCTCTCCCCTGTTCAGCAGCCATCTCGCAGGGCTAAAGCAGGACACTCCTGCTGATGCGGAAGGGTGTGTCTGGGAACTGTATGATCCTTTGTACTCCTTCTGGGGGTTGCTGCATGTGGTTTGGAGGGGTGTGTGTGTGTGAGGGACACGGGTGGATTCCAGCTGCCTGCAAGCTGAGGCAGCGTGTCTAGTAGCGAGAGCAGGGACCGAGGTTTTCAACAGTGACTAGTGGGTGGAAGGAGTCTGAGTTTCAAAAAGTGGTGAGCACCTGCCCTCTTAGCATCTAGGGGTCTCCACTTGGGCACTCAACACCACTCAGCACTTTCTAGGGCCCAGCTCTGCTCCTGGTTCAGCCACTTGATCTGGTCTGGTCTATCCTCTGGATTAGCCCCAGTTCCGCAATTCAGGACCAGCAACGGGGCAAGTCCCCAAACTTCTGCCAAGGAAAGCTGTGATTTGCCCCCTGGCTCAGCTTCCTCCAGTTTCAAGCAGGGTTTGGCTCCACCCTTGCAAGCGGCCTATGCAGCGGGGGAAGCCACGCCGCTTCTCCTTGGCAAGTCACTTCCCGTGCTGTGAAGTGGGGCAGATGGATATTTGACCCTTTGTGGAAAGCGCTTGGAGATCCTCAGCTGAAAAAGCGGCTGGAGTTAAGTGCAGAGACTAGTTATATTCCACTGTGTGGTCTAATCCTTTCAGGAAGACCCTGGCACCAATGAGAAGGAGGGTGAAAACTCCTGGGGGAATGTGGCAGCGGAAAGGTTATGGGAACGGTCCAGATGAAGAGCCTGGTTGTCACTGAAGTGGATGGAATTGGATTCCAGCTGCATATTTGTTTAGGTGAATTAAAAACACAATTCCTGCTTCCCAGAGGGATCACTTGGTTCTAGTTATACAGTTAGTCTTACAGGTGTAAAATAGGTTCCCTTTATGCTTACAGACTCATTTCTTTTTTCATTTGAATTTCAAGGCTTTATTCCCTTCTTTGGATTCAAGTCTCCTACCTGAACCTGATTCTCCCTACTGCCATTAATTCCTTCATCACTGAAATGAATCCCATTTAATTCTCTACCGTGGTTGTTAAGATAGATAAAAAAAAGTGCATTTGCAAAGGTTCCCCTAACCCCTGCTCTCTCTCTCATCGTTCCCAGCTCACTTGTGTCTTGAAAAGGCTCAGAATCAGAAACCTTCTCATCCTTATTCATGGTGGGTTTTCTCTCCTGCTCCTTTTAGAAATGGGGCCATAGGTGTTACTTAGAACTGGAGGTGCGGCTGCACCCCCTGGCTTGAAGTGGTTTCCATCCTATACATATTTACAGTTTGGTTCCTTTGGGTCTGAGCACCCCCCCCCACACACTCACTGTACAAATTGTTCCAGCCCCCCTGAATGGGGGATGGATCTATTAAAAAGATCTTTGTGTTTTCATAGATTCCTCCATTCTAAGGCCAGAAGTGACCATTGTGATCATCTAGTCTGACCTCCTGTGTAACACAGGCCAGAGACCTGCCCCGCAAATAATTCTTAGGGCAGAACTTTTAGAAAAACATCCAATCCTGATTTACAAATGGTCAGTGACAGAGAATCCACCACACCCTGGATAAATTGTTCCAGTGGTTAATTACTCAATGGTTATTTGCAGCACTTTACAATTTGGTCCCCACTAGGAGGGCCACGGGACAGATCCTCCGCTGGTGTAAATAGCATAGATCTGTTGACTTCAATGGAGCTATGCTGATTTATGCCAGCTACAGAGTTGGCCCATTATATCCAAGTATGTTGCCCTCAATTCTTTCCTTCATCTCCAATCAATCAATTTAATTTGGATCAGGGAGACACACTTGAAAACCACTGGGATAAAACCAGAATCTAGGTTCTTTGGGAGGTTGATAGGTGAAGAAAAAAAATGTTATCGAACTTATGCACAAAACAAAATAAAAGGGAATCTGCTTCCCCCCACTGGACAGAACAGTTCTGATTATTTATCAGAGTGGAGAGTGAAGGGGGGATAGGAATTAGCTCTGCCTCTGGTAGATTTCAATTTCCCTTCTCTGTGAACAGTGTTAAACCCTCCTTACCAAGAAACAATGTTTATCCCTGGCCACAAAGATGTATCTGCTGAGCAGAAGTGTGGGCTGGATTCTTCAATCTGTTCTACCACTTTCATGCCAGCGAAACTCCAGGACAGTCAATGGAGCTGGTGTAATACAGTGTGGAATCAGGTCCTCTGTCTTTACATGCATCAGATAGCAGGCGATGTCAAGAAAACTGCCCCGGAGATGAGATCCCAGGATCCTCCCACAAGAAGATCTATTCTCCTTCCCCTGACAATTGCCCAGGAATTACTGAACATCCTCAGCTCCCATTGACTTCAATGGACCCAGCCCTGAGGCCCTTATGCAGAGTCAGGCTGTGATCCCAGCTACACTGGTGTAACTCCAGTCAGGGTAGTGGATTTACTCAAGATTTACGCTGTGATGTGCCTGAAAGCAGAATTGAGCCCTCAGTTCTTACTTGTCCATCCCTAGTGAAAACTCCAGTTGAAGTTTTTCAGGCAATTCCTTGTGGTTCCAAATGCAACTGGAGTTAGGAATGGAGCAACAGACCCATTGATCTTCTGGGCCCCGGAGCTACTGGCCTTCCAGGAAAAAACAGTGGAATCCAGGTAGGAATCTGCAGTGACCAGCAGAAACTAACAGAGATCAGGTGAAAGATTCTAATGGAATCTACTGTCATTTCTCTTAAGCCTTACTTAGGCAAACTTACCTTGACAGCAGTGGTGAACAAGCACTAATTAAAAATGGACTAAGGAATGTAGGATTTGGCCCAATGGCAATGGAAAGCACAGCAGCCCTCAGAATCAGGCCCTAATTTTGCTATGGGTAAGGCATCTAGTGAAGTTGGTTGCAACTTATCCCATGCACCGT